CATTCCATTCATTCATTCCATTCATTCATTCCATTCATTCATTCCATCCATTCATTCCATTCATTCATTCCATTCATTCATTCCATTCATTCATTCCATTCATTCATTCCATTCATTCATTCCATTCATTCATTCCATTCATTCATTCCATTCATTCATTCCATTCATTCATTCCATTCATTCATGCATTCATGCATTCAACTGTTTATTTCAACTGATTTCTTCTCAGCTCACCAGCAATTCCATTTCCTATAATCAAACTGTTTCCTATAGCCATGTCCTATTTTTGAAACTTCCGCCCCGGCGCATGCCGGGCACTACCTGGTATTTCATGTTTTTAACAGAGACCCAGTTGTGAAACAACAACGGTTCAAATGCAAATTTTGGCCTCATATCTCTGAGGTGCGAAATGAAGGGTACAATTCACACATGTTTCATGGATCGAAGTGTGTAGAAACCTAAGCACAGGGCCCACGAAGCCGCAACATTTGCTCACCGTGGAATCATTTGTGTATCACTGAAACTGCTCTTTGCAGGGACCTTAAACGCACAATTCAAACATGTTCTTGACATGGTTCTCACGAATTTGTCGGTGATATGGGTATGCTTGACTCTCGTAGAGTCGTAGAGGATACAAACTGCATCTTCCACTGCCTACGTTGAGTTTCAAAACCACTATGGCGGTGTCCAAGTCTCAGACACGTGATGCCTTCTGTTCCCTTTTTCTCGGAAAATCGTCACTGGCCGCGCAACGGCATTACATAGTGCGGCAGCTCAAAAATGCGTGGTTTCTTTGCAGCTGGAAGACTCATAACTGCCGTGCATTGATCTTGGTCAGTGTTTCGGGGCATGGCGTCATTTGCCTGGTTTTCTGGCAGTCAGCTTAGCCAGCTTCAAAGTTCTTCGATTCATCTATTCCCTCTCCATGGTATGAGTGATGTAGTTTGTAATCACATGAATCTTGTGGACATTCAGCTCGTGTTCAAAGTTGATCAAGGTAACAGTCAGCTAATAGGCCAACCCTGTCAAGAACATCCCAGCCGGGAGTGTCCAGTAAGAATTTGTGCAGACGGGATATGGCCGGAATATGCCATAATTGTCAAAAAATTGAGTCATCTCATGTTGTATCCGATAATATCCTGAAAATAACTATATTATAAATATCTATAAATATATTTCACTATGTAGTATAACTGGTCATACTTATGCTAATGTGTGACAAGTATAATTAACATGTCCCGAATCCAGCTGGGCTCATAACTCACCACCTTTGTCGTCACCTCGTGGGCTTCCCTGAGGCTTCCCCCCAACTGTGTAACACAAAACGAAGCCGGCCGAATCATTCCCATCGATTACGGTGCCTCGGTCGCGGGACCGGGATTCTGGTGGTGCCCAGCTTGAGGCAATGCCATGCCCATCTTGTGAACGGTGGGAATTACAGGATAGAAATCATTTAAGAGTCCCACAGACTGATTGAAATATTACGCTGAGAAACCTGTGCCTTTCTCTCAAAGCATTTCGTCTGGACCCTGTGCAAAGACTGCCATAGCCTGATTTTCACACCCACCAAGTAGAACCAGTGACAGATTTTGTGGTTTGAACCCCATGACAGCGGAGATATTCCGAAACGGGGTTATGTGCCCCGTTTTTGTGAAGTATTCACAGGTGAAACCCATTTATGGTCAATACTTGGCTGATTATGAATCCATTAATGTCACAATATAATTACTTGGCTTGTTGTGAATCTGCTTATGGTCATTTGTGGTTTTAGTTTAAAAAGTCACAGCGAAATGTTTGGTCTTTTGCTCCAGCCAAGCGAGTTATTGTCCACTTCCTATCCATGCAGTTTTTGATTTAGCTTCATTGGTGAGCCTGTACAAACTGGTAAGTGGATGTGTGCAAATTGGTCATAATCACCATGGGATCCCATCGACTTACAAAGCTCCAGGAATGTGATTGGTTGTAGCCTCGTTTACACCCCTCTCTGGTCATCAAACACGGCCATGGACAAAAGATGACAAAAGAGTCTGAATGTCCAAGGAAATGTCCATCGCCAGCGTCCGGAAAATTATTTTCTCCATAATCTTCAGCAGAGTCCCCAACCAAAATAGTACTTGAAGGGACCAACTTCCTGACGTGCATGGTCACTTTCAATATTCGAAGGAAGTTTAGAAGTCAAATTTCCGACAATATGACAATATGGAAAGATGAAAAGCAGAGATGGGAAGAGTCAGAGAGAAGAGAAGAGTAGAAGAGAGAAGATCAGAGAAGAGAAAGAGTCAGAAGAAAGAAGATGCTGATGCGCGCAAAGGTAGGAGAGCCGCGAAACACTGTGTTTTTCCAATGATTTGTGGCTCCGGAGGGTCGAAAAGTAGGCTCGCTACGGCGGTACGGAGCCATCTGGCCAGATGAGAGATGAAAAATTGCACGCCGTTGTGGCGCGAAGCACATTTCGAAGTCAAAATGTACAAAACACACCATGCTCGGACCACTTTTGGAA